ATAAATAGTATATATACATATAAAACATAAATAGACAAAGTAAGTAAGATAAAAAAAATTACCAAGTTAAAACACAAGAGTAGTTAAGATAAGAGCAGAAATAAAGAGCAGAAATAAAAGGACAGTAAGAAGTAAAAGAAGATAAAAATAGTAAAACCAGCAAGAAAAGACATTAAGAAGACGACATCACATAAAAGCAAGTCTGTAAAAGTATGTTTTAAGAAGGGATTTAAAAGAATTGAGGGAATCTGCGTGTCTTTTCTCCTCAGGGAGGTCGTTCCAAAGTCGAGGGGCCCTGACTGAAAAGGCCCTGTCACCTTTAGTTTTAAGTCTCGACTTTGGAACGACCAGGAGGCCCCCCACCTGAGGTTCTAAGACTGCGGGCTGGCTCATATGGTGTCAGTAACTCTGTTATATAGCTCTGAGCCAGCCCTGTGCATGCTTTAAAAGTAATGAGTAAAATCTTAAAATCGATTCTAAAACGTACAGGAAGCCAATGTAATGAAGCTAAACTCTGGATTCAAAAGTCATTAGCTCAGTAAATACAGATTGAAAACTGAGATACCGGAACAATGACAACAATGAAATACTTAAAATACAATTAGTCAGGGCTGTTTTCTTTCCCAACTGAAAATGATACATCAAGGTTTGTAGACAGCCTTTTGCATAGTGGAACATCATGTTTCCAATCCTGGGTACACCACCCCCTGCTGGCTGAAAATCAACCAACACAGACTTATTAATGAGACTGGCGGGGTGTCCCATTTCTAATTAGTAACTGCTAATACAGCATGTGTAAATGTTGACAGCACACTGGTTGGCAGACAGAGTTCACACGAAATCAAATGTGGTTTTCTGTTATTACTTTTGTTACTGTGTCAATGCAAAATGACGCAGAGGTTTGTCAATGAAACTGCACTTCAGAAATTAGATTTGAAGATAAAAACATTAATTCAACCAAAATGATCAATAACATTGTAAATACTAATATTATTTTACTGCTGTGTTTCTCAGTATCACAGCTTCATTTTTTAGATACTTGGCTTGTGATAGGACATCTCAATAGAGTGGATCAACAATGTTATAACATCACTTATTCTATCAGAACCTTGGCTGGGAGAAGGATATTTTCACATCTCTTCAGCTGCTAGCTGATCTTCTATTTCTGTTGTGCATTGCATTGTGGGACAACAATGCTCCGACATCATCATTCTGACAATGTTTGTGTGCATGATGGCATAAGTTTACTTCAGTTTGACATTTTCCCAGTTTCAATACACAAAATACTCAGCTTTGTCCCTGTCTCTGTCAATCTGTCTTTGTTTTTATTTTCCTTGTCAGTTCCAAAAATGACTGTATAAGAACTAGGAAAACTTCCAATTACTGCAAACTGTCTCATGAAGGCGCTGGAGGGAAATCTACCGTCTGTGTTGCAATTAAGGAGGCTAGGCTTTGTCATTGTTATATTGCAAAGCTTTCAGTCAGAGAGATGTATTCAGACTTTATCAGTGTGAAAAATGTCTATGACCAAAAGCTTAGCAATTAAATTTGAAATCTGCGATGAAGGAAACTTGGCTAAAGCTTCTATTCTTTTTAATTGTACCATTCAGAGTAGTGGGACAATCATAAAAGAATTATAACAGCACCTCAGGATATGGGACACACTGCTGGAAAGCAATGGTCGCTCATAACAGACTTATTAACTATTCATACTTTCAATGGGAGCGCTTGATGCGGTCGTGACAAGAGGGATGAAATAAATAAGAGGAGAATACATGAGGCAGGATGATGTGTGCATTATATGTAATGTTGGGATGTGCAGCAATTCCTTGCTTGGAAATTTTGACAACCTTTTGAATCTGAGAAACTTAAGAGAGAGCAGTCCGGTCCGGTCATGTCTAGTCCAGTCCAGTCCAGTCTAGTCCAGTCCAATCTTGTCCAGTCTAGTCCAGTCCAGTCCAGTCCAGTCCAGTCTAGTCTAGTCTAGTCTAATCTAGTGTAGTCTAGTCTAGTCTAGTCCAGTCAAGTCTGGTCCAGTCCAGTCCAGTCTAGTCCAGTCCAATCTTGTCCAGTCTAGTCCAGTCCAGTCCAGTCTAGTCTAGTCTAGTCTAATCTAATCTAGTGTAGTCCAGTCCAGTCGAGTCCAGTCCAGTCTAGTCTAGTCCAGTCCAGTCCAGTCCAGTCCAGTCCTACAGCAGACTGAGACTCATTCCTCTGTTTGTGTTCGTAATTGGCCAAGAAGTCGGTCCTCTGGACACGACTTTAATCCTCTGAAGTTTGTGTGTGTTGCTTGTTAGCTGACTTTGTATTTAAACGCACCCACTGGAAACACTTTAATGTTTGAGACTCTACGAGGCAGAAGTATGACGTAGTAGCTGTATCTTTTTTGAGGCCTCATGCTCATAAGTGCCTTATACTAATTTAAAAGCAGAAGCCTTTATACTATTTGATATATCATTATACAGATTATAATCTGTATAATGATATATCAAATAGTATAGTATAATCTTATTATCAGTTCTCTCAATCCTGTGTCCTTCATTCCCCACTCCCCACATCTGAAGCATCATCAGCTATTTTTATTTTCTCTACGGTTTCTCTCCATAACGTAGCTATGACGGTATAGAGCTGTGCCAATGCACAGAAGCCACTTGCACATTTACATAAACAGATTCAGCCGAGGATCACGGGATGAATGGAGGGTAGGGTGTTCATGTGTGTGCATGGTGATGGTGGTGTTGAGGTGAAGCCAAAACAAAGATAGAAGGAGTGATCTGGGAGATAGAGAGAGATGACAAAGGGAAAAGATAGTGAGGAGGGTTTGTCTCATTTGCACTGGAGTCCTCCCCTCATCATGCAGCCAGCTGACAGGGGATATTTTTATCAGCCTGGCGCACAGTGCAGAAAAGGAACAAATTCATTTGTAAAATCGCAGTCCCAGTCAAGGACAAGATCTCAATGGGATACAACATAGCTGTCTTTCTGCGCTATCAGAACAGAAATCATTCATTCTTATTCATGCTCCTGTCTCAGCACCATCGTGCAAAGGTGGCGTACAAGGCCTTGCCAGCTCTTTGTACAATGAAGCAAAAAGAAACAAAACTAAGTGTTCCCTCATGTCTGAACCCTTCCTGTGGTTTCTAAAGTTCAGGAGCTTCCTTTTGTAGACCTGCAAATAATGTATTCTTTGCATCTTGTTTTGTTGTTCTTTGTCTGACCGTGTCTGTCTGTGTCTTTGTAGGGATTTCCCAGTAGTTTATCCAACTGTTGTTTACATAATGTTGAGATATATAAATGTAAACAGACACTGTACTGATGGGAGATACATCTGTTGATCTATAAGCCAAATTAGAGGTCAGTTGGATGACACAGCAGAGTGTGTGTGAGAGTGAGTGAGTAAGAAAGACAGAAAGAAGGAGCATGAATAAACCATGGCCAAAAGTGGTGTCACTGGGCTGCTGTGTTGGCATGTCGGCATTGCTCAGGAAAAACATGGCTGTCTCTGGGGCTTTGTCTGTAATCCAGCATGTAAGAGCTGCTAGTTGTCTCCTTTATGTGCGCAGTCCCAGAGTCTCAGACGCCATCTGATATTCATACAGTGGAGGAATAAACTATTATACAGCTGTATTTTTTTGTTTTAAGATGATTATGAATATTGTTCGAGCATGCTTATTTATTCTTACAAAGGGCTCATGGTTCCAATAAGCTTAAATGATAATACGTTTTTTCAAGGATGAGTGTTGAATGCACCTGACGTTTAAGCAGCAAATATAATTCTCTTTATCCTCAAATGCCCTGCTTATCCCGCATTTTGAACAGTTTTGTTTGCCATCTTGAAAGGATAGTCGTGTCCAGAAAATACAGTTTTATTTTCTCAAAACAGCATGGTTTCGTCTCATTGTGACACAAATACCACAGTGTGCCAAGCTGACAGACAGACAGATGATCCATTGCAGACGTTGTAATTGAAAACACTGAGACAGGGTGTACAATTAATCTCTCTTTCTTCCCTGCTTCATATTTCCATGGAGAAATAGCTCAAAATGCAGATAATAGATAAGAGTGTTATTGATTAGATGGGGTGGGAGGAGACGCTGGGAGGTGCAGAGGTTCTCCATCACTAATCTCTCAGGCTGTGACTGCATCTAAATAACCTGCAGAGAGGGATAAACAGGCGCATCCATCATGGGACGGCTGGTGCAGACAGTGATGGATGCCTCTGCCCTCCGCCACCCTCAGCTGCACCTCTTCCTCCTGGTCAGGGATAGGAAGCGACACTTGCACTCATGAAAAATACCTGGATTTAACTGGGCAGGGGAAAGCTGTCTTTAGCATTGCCGTGATGGAAAGATTCAGGGCAGGCTTTGTGTGTGCGTTGGTGTGAGTTTGTAGAATCGTCCCCGGTCCCCGGTCCTCTTGTCTCTTTGAGTTAGAAGGATTATCCATCTTGATAGATCCTGTTTGTTTTGTCAAAGAGGAAATTGGTTTTGTGGATTTGTGTGAGACTGCATTTGTGTGTGTGTGTGCGTGTGTGTGTGTGTGTGTGTGTGTGTGTGTGTGTGTGTGTGTGTGCAAGAACTAACTCATCTATATGCCGCATGTGTTTGTATATAAATTGAATTATGTACATTCTCCATCTGCATGCACTGTAAGCCAAATCCCATGTGCTGCCTGGACCTACTGAGCAGACGTGCCCATGCCAGCTCTCCCCAGAGGTGCCAGCCTGATAGATATGGTGTGTGTGCGCCAGGCTATGCCTTCCTTCCCCACCAGAGCGGCATTAAGATTGATCCCTCGTTCCCTCCCATTTCTTTCTCTCTAACTCCTCTGTGTGCCTCTGCCTTTATGAGACTGTGAATAGGTGAAGCTCACAAGCTCCAACAGATGGCCAGAGCTGCGCTGTCTCTCTCTCTCTCTCTCTCTCTCTCTCTCTCTCTCTCTCCCACTCCCTCTCCCATTCCCTCACACACAAACACAAATTCAACTGCCACATGAATGTGAGCCTGTAGAGACAGAGAGGAGGAGGCACAGTTACATTTGACAAGGAGAAAGAGAAGAAACAGGAAGTGTCACAGGAGAAGAAACACAAGAACTTCAAGAAACAGTGAGGAGATGTTACTGTACATTTATGGAGGAAGATGGAAAAGGAGAGAGGAAGGTAAAAGATATAAAGAATATGCTCAGAGAAAAGAGTAGTGAGTGAGAGCGACGCCGCTGAAAAAGAGAGTGAGGACAAAATTGAATTGTAGATTGAAGGAGCCTCTCTCCTCCCTTTTACCCTCCCTCTTTTATTTATCTCATGCGAAACCACGCCTCCCTCCTTTCACTTGTCAGTGCATCTATAACAGTGAGCTGTCTGCACTTGGCTGCGTGGGGGGTGAGACAAGCTCCTCACTCAGCCAACACAGGGGGACCGTATCATAACGGACCGGACCGGACTGGATGGTACTGGACTGCCCAAAACAGGTGTGTGAATATATGTTTGTGCATGTGTGTGTGTGTATAGATGACAGAGAGAAGGATGCGTATCCCTCAGTGTGTGATCGCTTGTTCCTCCACAGGACTTGCTTGAGTAGCAAATCTAGAAGGTACAGTGCTGGAGATTTGCCCTAGTTTACACTTGAATGCTCTGATCTGTTCTGTTTGCCTCTGAGATTTATGCATGGAGTCGCTAACAGCGCTGCTCATCAGGGCAAGAAAGATAAAACCTCTGGTTCTTCGGGTGCACTGGACTCTTCAGAGTATAGCTTTGAATCAGAACAATGTGAAAACGAGCTGCTGTTTTTGTCTGGAGGAACAAGTTGGGAGTTATTGGAGCTGGACACTCTCAACATGTGCTTCTCAATTAGCTGTTTTCTAAGTGTCAGTCTGTAAAGTAATACAAAGCTGCTCAGAATACTATCATTAAGTTGGAGGATTCCAATACAATTGTCTTCTTTGTGAAGTGACTTTATTGTGTGAAACAAGCCACTTAAGCTTTCATAATTCTTTGGTCCGTCTTGGTGTTTAGACCGATTTTTGATTGTTTCTCTTTATTTTTCTGATTCACGGTTGATGGTGGTTTGAAATCATAAAAAAAAACACGATGTCTCAGAATCTCTTTGTGTTTCTCAGCCGGATGTAATCTTGACTCTTTCTGAATAGAGTGTTGGGGTTTAAAATTAGAAAAAAAATATCCTAACTACAACAGGGAAATCATAGATTTTTTTAAAGGTAGAACCAGCCTTAGTTTTTTTTTTTTTTTTTTTTTAAATTACCTTTTTCGGGAGCTTTTTTGAACCTAAGGAGATATGAACCATGCAGCATTCATTTAAGAGTCGCCATTTCAGCAGATGCTTTCCGCTCCTATAGAAGAAGCCTGCACGGCTTAAGTCTCTGAGGCTGGTCCCAGTGAATGTACTCACTATCACTGTTTTGTCAATAGCTTTATGGGTCAAAAGGCTGTGTCATCACCAAGTGGTGGCAGTTAAGCGCAGCAGAGTAGAGGGGATGGGGGGGGGGCACTGACCTAGAGGCTGAAATATTTATGACAGAGACAGCTGAACGCCCTGTGCTGTTTGTAGCGATATGGGTGGACGGATGAATGGAAGGATGGAGGGGTTGAGGGAAAGTAAAGAAGCTTCAAAGATCTGTTCTTTTAAGCATTTATTATTTATCGCATCGCACTCTGCCATGGAAGCTCTAACCCCCACATCAACTGGCCTCTTTTCTCGCTGAGACGCCAGTGGACTGAAGGAGGATGCTCCTACTAAGTCTACCTGTCAGCCAGTCCCCTGGCATGTTAGGACTGCAGCCACATGCCACAGACTCTGCACACACACACACACACACACACACACACACACACACACACACACACACACACACACACATACATACCCATGTAAACACAACATTGACTTTTGTTTTATATTTACACACTTAACTGTACAGCTGTGAATGTTTGCACTCCCAAATAGGTTGTGTATAAGTAACACTCATATGCATGACATGTACCAAACATACAATAAGTCCACTCACACTTCACACATTTGTCCTCATGCTTATACAACACACACAGACACACGTCCACACATATATGCCCCCTTAACCATTTCATTCTTCTCAAGTCTTTCTCCTATTTCTGATGAGCTCACACAACTCTTTCTAAGTCGCATGAACAACAGAAACAGACAAAGACATGCACACAATCAGTGGGAGTGACGACCTTGAGACCTGTTGATGTTGTTTGCTGCGACTGTGCAGTGAATACATAAGAGGCCATGCGGGACTCCCGGCGAAAATGGGGCGCTTGACATGCCGTTTGTAAAAATGAGTGGAAAATGTGCAGGAGGGCTGGCGAAGCAGTTGAAGGGAGACTACGGCATGAATATGTATTGTATGCTAATGCTGCACTGAGACTCTTGACTCAAGCTGTTGATGAAAGCAGAGGACATATTCCCCCATCCTCACTAAAGAGGCAGCGCCATTGACAACCCCATTGTCCACACAGCCACGTCTCTGGCCACAGGGGCGGGATGGTGACAGGTGGCAGAAATCAGTGACAGCAGCCAAGGTGACACTGCTTGACTGTCTCTGTGGGCCTGCGGGCGGCCTGGGCAGCACCAGTGTCTGCTCATTTTACTCGCTCCTTAACCTTTTGTGGTTAGACACAGCAAGGTTACAAAACAATGGCCTTAAGCTAATGTCCCCAATTAGCTTTATTGGTTCATCCCAGGGGTACAGCATCCTCCTGCTGCTGTCTACCATTAATTATAACACCATGTTTCTATCTATCTGCTTTGCTCATTTAGTTTAATTTGCCCAATAGCCTAATTGATGGAATAAATTATAACTCAAATGTCAGAAGAGAAACAGCCTTAAACGCTGAGTAGTGGGGGAAATGGCACACAGAAAAACAGATAAAATCAAATTGAATCAGGCTTTATCAACACATACACGTTAATGAATCTTTGTCTACTGTAGATAAGGAATCCTTTGTACCTCACACACCGCTACTAAAAGTCCCAAAACACAAAAAAAGGATGAGTGATTCAGGGTGTACATGACTTAAACACTACTGGTAAGTGCCCTTTAAGATGAGAAGCTGCAATAAAAAATGTGATGATATATAAGACTATCAATACATCAACCCATCCATTATCTTTACTACTTTTCCTCGTCAGGGTTCGCGGGGGGCCGCAGCTGCTCCCAGCTATATATCCCAACTATATCCAACTAACCAGTGCTCAATTAATTATTGAATCTTGCTGCTTGATTGGATATATTCCGACACCAGGTATATAGAAATATATTTCCTCTAAGTTTATGGACACAGTAACTAGCTTTTTATTTTGCTTAAGTTTACCTCAAAACTCTGAAACATAACGTATGTTACATTACATTTCACCCACACACAAGGCTGCTTTGGAATTCATTAAAAGTATCCTGGCAGTAAGAAGCACTCTCGTGTTTCCTCTCTGAGTCCCGGTTCATCTCTATGTATGAGCTGCTGTTAACAGGTCCTGAGACGAACCAGCATCGGGAGATCAGTGTGTAAAAACTCTGCGCTGCTGCTCGTCTCGGCTCTAATGATGGAGAGGCACGGAGGCGCTTTGACGATGATGCTCAAACACTCCTTTCTCAACAGCAGCAGTCTGCGGCTGAGAGGAGCACATCAGGAGAAGCACATTGCATTGAGTTTATGAGTGCACGTGATGATGTATATGTTTTTATATTTCATGTCGCTGTGTTTGTTTCTTGTGCCTTATCAGCTCAGTATGCACATGGTGTAAAACGTCTGATTCCTAGTGTTCACGTTTGAACAACTGTTATGTGCAAGTGCAATACGATTTCAATCTGATCCCTCTATGCTGCTGAGCTTGTGCAGTGGAGGTGCCCTACGGAGAAATGTAATTATATCCTACTGGCCACAGAGTACAGGCTTCACTGCCCTATCTGTCTCAGGAGAGACAGCGGCAATAGAGGCCCCTTCTCACTTGCAATATCCAGCGGCTGAGATACTATATCTCCCAAATTTGTACTAAATCCTTCCTCCAATCTCCTCCTCAAATCAGCATTCAGATCCTGGGGTTATCAGCGGCCTTATGCTACAGTTTTGTTACGGCCATGAATTATTTATGACCAAATTAACTGCGGTTGCTAAGAGCAGTGATTGGGAGATTTTGGATCATAGCCAAAATCTGACTCAGTTCAAAGCCAGCTTTCTCAAACACTTTTCTGTCTGATAAGCAAACTCTCTTCACCCTGGATGTAATTAACACCATAATTAATTTTGCCCATTAACAACCACCTGATTCTAAAGCGTTTTTACTGATCAGTCCGCTTCTTACGTCCTGCATCTCATCTATGTTTCTTTCTTTTCTGACCACACCTTCTACACTAACGCCTTTGGTTGTGCTCTCACTGAGGTGTGTGCTCGGATGGTGTCCATTAGTACATGAAAACAAACAGACACACTCTACTCTCCTGGATTTAGGCAAACAATCAATGCGAGCACTCACATAACAGCAGTCTAAGTGGCCCATTGATGTTGTGATTAAATGAATACAGGATGCAGTGGTGATGACTTGACACTCAACCCCAACCATATAAAACACATCATTTTATATTTTGGAAATCTGTTTTTAAATTGAAAAATAAAACAAAACCTTCTCCCCAGGATAAACAGAACTATAACACAATTCAACACATCATGAAATAATGTATCTTCCCACATGATAGTACATGATCGTAGGATGATAAACGATGAAAAATGCAGCCAGAACCCTTAATGCTACGTTGATCTTTGTTTCTGTGATTTTTAGCCCTTCTCTGTTCCTTCAGCCATGTTACAGCTTCAGTTACCCACCTCCCTCTTGCTTCTCCCTCAGGGTGTAGCAGCCTTTGTGGAGCCTAATAAGGTTTATGGAATTACAGACATCTGAAATTGAATTTTTTTTTTTTATACTCCACCAAAGCAGTGGGATTACAGGTTTAAGAAATGGTGCAACACTGACCTGTTACTGAACTGCTTTTTTCCCACTGCACAGTCAAGGAGGGCAGATCAAGAGACGGATGTGCCAACAGCTCTGTAGATAGACTGAGAGACAAGCAGATTACTTGTATCTGTGTATGTACCTGGCAATTAACTGAATATTGAGTCAGAGAGCTGTTTTAACTGTTAACTCTGGATCCCTCTCATGCCGACCACTCTCACACACTCCTCCTCCATCTGTCCTCGCAACTTTTCACTGTGTTTGATCTAATTCTAATCTAATGAATCTTTTGATCTTCCATGCCTGACACCCAGACACATTCTAAGTTTCTACAGCCAGAGAAGCTCAATTAGTTCTAATCCTTAAAATCTGGCTGCTGGTGAGGCAAGTGATTCTCAGTGGTGTATAGAGATTTGGACTGTCTACCCCATGCTGATGTTTAATGAACTGCGAGATTCCTTCACTAACCTTGATCCCCCAGCCCCCCCAAAAAGCTACCTTATCACAAATCCAGACTGATTCAACCATTATTGTTCAGATGTGATTGAGCATGCACGGTTCGATTGGAGGAGTAGCAGACGAAAGTGAGAAATGAGGTGCGAAAGCACTGGAGACAGGCAGAGCAGTGAATGCAACATTGAGATGTTGGAGGGAAGGGAGTATTCATTAGTAGTGGTCCATAGTGGCAGCTTTGTTGAACTCTTAATTGGGGGAAGAGACAGGCCTGGGGATAGGGGATCAATAGGGCCAGAGCCAGGTTCCAACCCACTGAAATCAATCAGCCTCAAGCCTCTCAAGGAGGGTTTAGCAAGTCAAAATAAATAAATAAATAAATCACACCTCCTCAGACTCCTGCTCATTTACCCTCTCGATCACACTTCATCTAGATCAACAGACAGACAGCTCATTCCTGCTCATCTTAGTCAGAGCAGGAGGGAGTGTCCTGACTGTTTTTATTTGTTAAAGGATCATTTGATCTTGCTGCTTGCATGCTTTGAAATGTCACAGTTTTAATGTGACTGAGAACAAGAGACCATTGTAACTAATAAAACATGATTCATTAACACAGGAGAGCTTTATGGAAAAGAATATTAAATGAACCCCTTGCATATTTTTTACACCACTTCTAAAAATAGTCACTTTCTCCTCTTCTTCCTCTTCATCTTCTCCTGGGTAATAGCCATCTTTCTGCCCTGTCACTTTTTGATGCATCATCCTCGTATTCACATCAAGGACAAGGCCAGGTGTCGCATTTTCTCTAAGTTGCCGTGCTTGTCTCACTGCCTTGTCACCCACAGCCTGTTCCGATCTCCTCCCTCTTCCTCCCCCTCTCTGCGTATATCACTTTTGCCATTCGCAGCCTGTGGTGTTTGTTGAATGCTGCAACTATATGTGTATGTCATCTTTGGCTAAAGAAAAACCTGTCAAATGAAATGATATATATTCTGTTTAGTATTGATGTCTCACAGCTGAAATTCCTCCTCCTCGTGTCCTTGGCTTCAAATATCTTTGTCAGTTTTGTGTTAGGCTATCCAGGAATATGCTTCACAATGCAGAGCAGCTTTGACAGAGTTATCAAACAGATTTGTACCGCTCCAGATGGACTAAGAGACAAACAGACAGACAGACACAGGTGTACAGCTCCCGCTCTCTTTGATGCCCATGAGTGGAGAGCAGCTGGGGTCAGAGACGTGCCTTGGCGGGGAGACACATGGGCTTATAAGGATCTCCAGTTTATTCTTAGCCTTGCTGCCCATAATTCCGTGCATGTGTTTGTGTTTATTCATCACCACATTGTTTGGTGCAAAGCATTTCACCAAAGTCTCAAATTAGATATTAGCGGCTCCATCAGTTGGGAGAGATCAGGACAAAGATTTAACGGTTATGTGGTTATGGAGATGTCAGTAATGCTCAGCTCAGCGTGCTGGACACTGACACTTGACCAATCAGAACAATAGATCAGACAGCTTGACTCCTTTCAACATGTCGAACGAGGCCTTGCTTGTGAAATCATAACTACAGGCTGCTGAAGATGTTGGGGGAAAATTTAGAAAAGAGCTCATTTAAAAAACAGTATTGTTTCTGTACCTCAGCTGCTAGTTTTAGTAGGGAAACGATATACTCCCCTTCCCTAATTGTTCTTGAACAATGCGTATAAAGCATTACAAACAGAAACTAATTATCATCGCAATCACTCAAAAAGGCCTGAAGGGTTGGAAGTAATTATGTTGGAAATTAGACCATTTTCACAGTAGTACATCCAGTACAGGTAACTAAAGCACCTCCTGAACCATTGCCTGCTCCCCAGGCATCACTGCAGGATTTTATCTTGTGTGATTTCATGAGGAGCGAATTAACCAATAAGGTTGTTTATCTCCTAATCCTACAGTTTTTTGCAATGTTTTCTTTAGAAGTGAATGTGTCACCATCCTTAGGGAATGTGTGTATGTGAGGGAGTAGTCGTGATGTGACCTGGCGTCTGTTCTTGGCTTATGATGTTAGAGAGGATAGAGCCTGTGAGAGGAGCAACAAGCAAGGATGACCCATAATGTGAACACGTCTCAAAAAGGACGTTTTTTTAAAAACAAGCTAGATGATACAAGGTAGTCTTTTGAGATCAAAAGTAAAAGTTGCATGTATGTTCCAAGGATTCATCCACTGTGGACTTTGTGTTTACCCACAGAACTTGACAGTGAGAGGCTGATCCCTGTGGGAGAGGAGAACATCAGAGACAGCTTGTTTAGAGAGGAAGGTAAGGCTGCTCACCTCTTACACAGTGCAAATAAAATCTCCTGCTATCTCTTCTCTCCCTCACACACAAATAAAGAAAGTTAAACTGTGTGTGTGGTTGCAGCGTATGTTTTGTGGCTATTTTTTCTGTAGGTGTCTGACTTTTATTTAGCTTTTTTTTTTTTTTACACAAGTGTTTTGCTTAAGAGCAAGGCTGTGTTTGTTTGTCATCTCGGAGTTGCCTATATATCTTTCACCTATCATTCCTCCACCACAGACACAGTCAGATGCTGATTATTTGTGTTACTGTTGCCATGGATTCTGCAGACCTTTGAGGAAACAAATTGTCAACATTCAGTTTACTGGAGTGGGTAGATTCATAACCTCCAGAGGCAACTCATGCATCACACAGATTCAGTCTGTATCAAAATCACATCATCTCATTTGATCTGCCTGCCAGTCATCAGCATTTCATCCGGCACCAATAGGAATAAGGAAGGAGGAGGGTTATTGTTGGCCCCACTGAGATGGTTTGATGATCAAAGAAATATGGGATTGTTGCAGTTGTGTTGTGGCCACAGTACGCACCCTTTGTGACTGTCAGTCCAACTAGGTTATAATGAAGAGAAGAAAAACGAGAGTGAATTGAGAGATGAGGATAGCTGAGGTGAAGCTGAGGGGAAAGAGTCCTGAGACCTCATTAGCTAGCTACACTGATCTGAATGATCAAATCAGTTACTAAGAAATCGCCTTTACCCCCTGTGGCTTTCAGCTGTAAACCAGCCTGTTTGAGGCACTGACTTAAAAAAAATAATCATCAAAATGTTTTTTGTGCAAATCCTGTTTACAAAGTCAATACATCTGCATGAGTTAGACACATCATCGCTAGTGTAACTGCTGTCACCGGTAACATCCTTGTGCTGCTGCTGTGATCACAGTCATCCTGTGTGAACAGTTGGCGAGCAGCAGAGGAAGCAGCCCTCAGCACATGTGGCCACATTATGTATACAGCTGTGCACAGCTGACTCATTATCACTTGCAAAAACATCAGTACGTGACTGAAATCAGCTCTCCTTTCAGATTAACAAACAACTCCCTACAAATGGCTCGTAATGTAGACATGGAAGTTAGGTAAAAAACATGCCTGGCTACATGACTTTTCAACTTTGATATTCTTCTTGTATCTGTGAAACCACCAACAGCAGGCAGGTGAATGGTGTGCCTTTGGTAAGCTATTCTGTTTGAGGACTGATCTCCACTTCAAAACCCCAGCGTGAGGGCAGCATTCACCTCTCTCTTTGGTCCTCTTCTTTCTTCAGCAGAGCTGGATAAAAACATAAAGCTCTCAAGAAAAACTCTTCAAAGTTGGAGTTCATATGCAGGGTGAAGACCTCATCAACTTATTTCTCTTAAACCACTGTCCCTTCCATCCAGCTCGGCTTGTTTATGAACAGAGTTACGTGATATTTCCCCTGCTGTCTTTGCAGCTGGTTGCGTAAGGTGCCTTTGATATCTTATGAGAGACAAACGGATATTTTTCTCTTAACACTGTAGGATTAGCCTGTTGTTTGTGGCAATTTCTCCTCAGTCTGCTTCCTCAAATCCTCCCTAGGATATGCAGTGCACATTGTGGGACTCTCTGAGTGTTTTCCTGACCCTCATTTTCCACATCAGCAAGAAGGGACTGCCAGCTTGCTTCCATGCCCCAGCCTTCCTTCAGCCCAATGATTAAAAGTCAAATATTAAAGTGCTCTGTTGTGAGCTCGGCCTAATTGATTCTTTCCGCCGGGTGCACACAGAATGGGCTGACAGCAGGCGATACCAGGCTTTGTCAACATCGGGCATGCTGCCTGATGCTCAGGACTGCACCCCAATAAAGCCCCATGTGAGTGTGCCAACCTGCGGCGCCACACACAGAGAGGCCACTCTGCACTCGAGCCAAACTTTATAGTAACAACACAGAAGCAGCTCATTCTTTTGCTGTGTGTCAGCTCACATCGGCGGGCTGGGAAGTCGTTTTTTCTCTGTGTAAGAAAGTGGCTGGCTGTGAAGACAGGGTGTGTTATGTGTGAATGTGTGAGTGCATCGACAAATCTCTTCTGCCCACTTGCGTAACCACTCAGCTAACTTAAGCTATATGGGGCGACGGTGCTGAAAGGAGGTTTCATCTGAATTCCACAAAAGACTCTTTTCTCCTCTTCTGATCCTCGGCTCTCCTGCCGTTAAGATAATTGCTTTAATAGCTTTTAATCTCAGCTGTGTTTAACAAGGAGCTTACCAAGTGCAGAAAGACACCAAGTATGTCATCAGTGTTCACCCTGTAAAAAAGCAGGACATCTGGTGCACATCTTTTGATGAGATTGTTTTACCCTCCCTTAACTGCGATGTGGGGATGATTAATTGAATCTCTTCTGTAGTAAAAACAGTCTCTCTATCCAGAGACAGATGCAGTGTACCCTGTCCCCTTCTTGTCTCCTTACACCATGAATTTACTAGTAAATTTATGAGTGTCCTAAATGGGCTGCACTCCCTATTTATTTTTAATGGGTTCCTACTTTACTGTTTGGAGAGTGCAATAGGGTTCTTGGTGCTACACAATGCTCATTAAGCGCAGACATTCTTCCACAACGCTTTTCTCATGAATCTGATTGACCTTTTTGGTCCTTGTGATCTACGGTAAAAAGGTTATTGGCGCCTATTTATCCTCCCCTGGTTGAAAAGCTTGGTATATGTCCTGTCCGCTTTATGTCCCATCTGAGCTGATACGAAGGTTTGAAGGTGTGTGGGGGTGGAATGAGGTCAGAGAAATGGCTGATAGTGCAGTAATTACTCTTTAAGTGAAATGGGGCGATGATCTGGGCTCTGACACAGAACTAATTACAACACAAGGGTGATGAACTTGATCGAGGATGCTGCTAATTCATGTTTAACCGAAGAGAGAGGGAGAAATCTGAGAAGGAATAAGATGAACAGGGTGAGTTAGCAAGTGGAAACATATTGTTAAAATATCCATTCACAACATGTCCCTTTTTCCAACCGTACACATCCTCTACATTCAGCACTTGAGTAATTCACATCACATTTCAGTATGACTGATCAGCAGCACAGTAAGGGAATGACCTCCCAGCTGCTATAGTTGTAAAGGTCACAAAAAAGTAATCATAATGTCCTCACAAGAATCTAGTGGGGTTTAATGTCTACCTCTATCCTGTTATATCCATGCTGTAGATCCCAGGGAGGGGTCCACAGACTGGTGAGGGTCATGATCGCAGCCACAGGAGGGCTGACAGCTGGCTGCCTGTCTGACAGGAGCCTTATCGAGGGCTGATAGGGAAGAGTGTGAATTCTCTTACTAGACAAAGATCTGATTCGATTCTCTAGAGCTTTGATCCAATACAGGAACCATTCATTAAGATACAGAATGATTCAGTGCAATTTGATTTGGTATGCCTTGATATGAACCCATTCAAATTGATATTTGTATCCACAGTAAAATGTATAGAATAAAATAGAGCCTGTGTGTCATTTAAAATAACATGTTCTTTCCCATTAAGAAAATAGGCCTACAAATATTCTGACATGAATAATGTAAAGTCTTTATCACACACACCTGCACAGGTGACAGGTAGTTGGGGCAAGAAATACTTTTTATTTCTATTTACTTGTGTAAATCTCACTTTGTAGGCTTTATAAAGCCCGGCTTACACTTAGCACAAAGTACTACCTCTGATAACCAACATAAAGGGAAAAAAATGTCCTCATCTTTTTGTTTGTCTGTCTTAGTGTGTCAGCTAAGTATGCATAGGTGTGTGCAAGCGTCAAAAATTGTTTAAATATTGTTTTGATTTTTCTACAAATGTTTATTTTCTCAACTTTAGTTTTTTTTAATAGTGTTTTATATTTCAGCAGTTGTCGGCGGAGAAAATGCTTTAAATATTCAAATTAAAATTCTCTTTTGGGAAATAATTAGTAAGATTACAGCAATTCTATTGTTTCAATAATTCATACAGTGGTAATTTCTTAACTGCCCAGTTGTTGCACACAGAGTTCAACACCATAGAGTAGACTTTCATGAAGCTTTAATGTGAGTCACAATTTAGTCACAACTATCTGAAGTGTACTTTGTATATGCAATCATATTTGTGTGTTCTCATGTCTGACCATGTACTGTGGGCACAACTGTGTTTGTGTCCCTCCTCAGTCAGTGATACAGATCAAAGGGAGGTCATGTCTGCAGGGACAGCCAATGAGCATTGGCCACAGTAAAGGGAGAGCCACTACGCCTGATCAATCTGAGCTCTCATTAAAAGGCTGCCAAGCCCTTTGCAACCTGATACAATATCAATACTGTATCACCACAGGGAGAGATCGGGGGCTGTTAGGCAAGCTGCTGGCATGCTTAACTGTCATTACCGGGCGGGCAGCATGCCAGAGACCCCCTTCGTGTGCCACTTAGGCTCCCCCCATGGTCCCAAACACAGGTCAACGCAGACAGATGGGCCGTCTGGGCAGCTGTCCCGAGGACGAGCGGAGAGAGAGATGGATACTGAAATGTAGAAGAGGAGACAGCCTGAGCTCTCTCACTATAAGAACTGATGATGTGGGTTGTGTGTGTTGACTGCATCAGTTACACGCACACATTGCACTTACACTTGTGGTTTCACCTGAGGCTTGTTTGTTTATTTCTTTTTAGCATCAGCAGATGATATAAGGTCCATCCCGCATGTTTGTGTTTAAAGTCTCCAAACTTTGTAAATGTTTTTAGAAATTCAAAAAGTTATACACTCCTGGTTTTTGAACAAAAAAAACAAAGATTCCTGCTGGGAACCACAGGCTCTGATTAGTGCTCTGTGGTCATTTCTGAGCAGAGAAAATGGGGGGAATTTAAGTGGACATACATAGAAGGCGCTGTAATTCATGTCATTGTGTGGAGGTCTGCCCTCTGTGCTCCAGTCTTAACCCCCTGTGTGGTTTTGATAGGGGAGGGAGGGATCAGTGTGTGCGTCTCTAAACCCCTAGTAA